CTCTCTCTCTCTCTCTCTCTCTCTCTCTCTCAAAATATTCATTTTAACCATGTTTGAAAACTACCCTTCAGAATACGATAGCAATCATACCGTTTGCCACATACGTGGCGGGACTCGTCTGTTCATTCGGCGCCAAACCCATGTCCGCCCGACTCGGCTCACGAGTAAGTCATACACTGTAACACATAATACACATGTATTGTACTGTATATAACCCAACCCTTTATTCAGTGGGTACTGATATTAGGGGCGGCTTTTGGTATATCGACGTGTGTCTGGATATTCATCGGCGCCGACGGCCAGTCATACAAAACGTGGCAAATATACGGTGTGTCGGCGTTTGTGGGCATTGGGGGCACAGCTCTGCTCATATCGAGTCTGGCCCTCACCAGCGATCTCATCGGCTCTAACACTGTATGAAATGTCTAGATATTTACCCATAGAGTTAACATAAGTAACTTATTTAATTAAAATTGTAACCCTATTGTATTTAGTCTACGGGCGCGTTTGTTTTTGCCGCGATGAGTTTTTTCGACAAATCGGTTAATGGTATTGTCATCGCACTGTTGGAGCATTTTAATCCTAAAGACATTGAGCCTGGTCAATCGGTCAACTTCTATAGGTTGATATTGATTTTTATCACGGGCACTTCGTCGGTGGTAATACTGTTGGGTTTATTGACAATTATGCGCACCCGGTATGGCCTACGAGCGCCTACTATGAACAGCCGCAGCAATGTTCAACCTATACATTAAATTTTATTATCTAGTTACTTTATTTTTCATTTGTATTAAACATTATTAATTAATTTTTAATGTTTTATATTGTATTTAATAATTATTTAATTAAATTTTATGTCAAACAAATAATTTGTAGTTAAATTTAATTGTACATTGAAATGCGGATAATAAATAATGTTTTATTATGTTATAATTACTTTTAATAATGGTCAATTTTTAATAATAATACATATTTAATTAGAAAACAATCATTTAAGGCATTAAAACCGGGAGTAGTCTGTAATAGAGTTAACTGTTTCGCTAATGCTACTGTGTAACTATTGCTGTACAGTGCTTACAGTCAACATTCGTTTTAAATACCAATACATAAAAGTTATACAACAGACTGTAAACAAACCGTCAAAACATAAGTGTCTGAGAGTTAGGTTTGAATTGCCATCAAATTGCTGACACAATTATCACATCATTAGATCCCAAGACATGGCCGACGAGGAGCCGACACCACAACCACTAAACCAACCACTGAATACCGGTGCCAATGAGGGCGCCGACGACACACCGCAACCGGTATTGATTGCAAACAATTTTAAATAATTAAAAAGTTTTTACAATTATTTTTGTTTCGGTCACACAATTGTGGCCACAAAACACACCCCCGGATAGGACTCAATGGACAGGTTTGGCGACGAGTTGTGTGAAGTGCTGTTGAGTCGTCTGCCACTCGAGGACCGATTCCGGTGCGAAACGGTGTCCAAACGGTTCCAGCGGACAGTCTTCGCGAGTGTGAAGTGTGCGGCGATCGACGACCAGCTCATCAGTCGTGTCCATCGGCGCGGAGTGGGCGTCACTGTCGCCCAATCGGTTGCCATCATTGGCCGCAAGTGTCCCAACATTGAGCGCATTGACACGCGTGGGATGCGGGCGTTCAACGACGCGGTGCCCGCAGTGTTGGCCACACTTTGCGACAGTTGCCACGATTTGCCGGACATTTACTGCAATTTGCGGCCAATGAGTGGCGACGCCGGCGGCCAATGGATAGCGCCGTTCGCGTCGCTCATCACACGTGTCGGCGATTTGCAGCCATCGGTCGCCCATTGGCTCCGGCAGTGCCCGCGAGTGACCCACTTGACAGCGCCGGACGTCCAGCACCTGTTCGACGGCCCGGCGGCCACCGACCAACTGTTGGCCACAAACCTGCGCCACTTGGGTCTCGCCTACCGGCGCGTCGGCGACAACGACCGGTTGGGCCGCATCGGCGCCGGCAATCCAGGCCTACTCTCCGTCCGGCTGTCGATCGGCGCGATGGCCGACACCGATATGATGGTCGGCCTCACCGGACTGTTTGTGCCGATACGGGCGTCGCTCCGGCGGCTGGACGTCACGCTCGCCGCCGACTTACAGACACACCGGTCGCTGAAGTCGGCGTTGGCGCCGGTGGCCGTCAATTGCCACCAATTGGTGCGGCTGTCGGCGCGCATGACTGCCCCGGAGCCGGACATCGCGCTAGTGTTGGCCTCACCAGAGGTTCGGCACATTTTCGGCGCCCATCCGATACGGCCCGCGCTGTTAGAGCCGGTCGATTGGCGCGTATTCGCACCGCTCGTCCGGTGCCCGGCGTTGGCCCACATCTCGCTGGACGGCTGCCACCCGCGCGCCAATTGGTTCCGCAACTGCGCCCAACACTGGCCGGCAGTGCGAACGCTGGCCGTACGTGAGACGCGCCGTACGATCGACACCAACGGTTTGGCGGACATCGCGGCGATGCCACTGCTCCGGGAGCTGACCATTGAGGACATCGGCGGTGATGTGTTGGTCAGGGAGTTGGCCGTCGAGGGTCTGTTTGCCCGCAACCCTAAACTGGCGGCGATTGCCTGGCGTGCAGATGGCGTGACCAGGATTTTTGCTCGGCCCTAATTGATTTGTTTTAATTAATTGATTGTATTTTTAATTTTTATTTTTAATTAATTGTATTTTTTAAAATATTGTTTTAATTGATGTTTAATTTTTACCATGAATTATATCTCATGGAATTTATGATAATTCAATGTGTATTAGTTTTTATTTTAATTTGTGTGGCTATTTTTAATCTTCAAATTGTATATTTTAATTAAATCTATTAGTAAAAAATTTTATTCCTATTCATACCTTATTATTTATTTAATTACAAAATATTGCATACAAATGTATATAAAATAGTTGCTAAATCATTTACAATATTAATATTAATTAAAAGTAATTAAACATCTATTGGCGCATCACATCTATCACTGCACTAATTATAAGTACCACAAATACATTACACCTAATAATTATCATATGTTATTGTTTCACACATTATATTAATACTTATTATTTTACTTTATATTATGTTTTCTTAAAGTAATTATAAATTTTATTACCTAAACCAGTCTTATAGTAACTGCAATCCCAGTTAATAACTAGTTAAATAGCAATAAATTTAGTGTTAATTTTGTAATCACCAATATAAACTATAAAAGCTAGAAGGTATTGTAATTATTATACTAAATTTAATGTGACTTTGGTATTTATTTTACAAACATTCATGAATAACAGTGTGTTTATAGTAAATGAACGTGTTTAATCATTTTGCACTAATATAATTATTAAAAGTTATATTGTTAAAATTTTTACATCTATTATATCAAATATTTTGTGACCATAAATGGCACGAAAAGATACATTTGATTTAAATAAAGAAAATAATAACAATAATAATAATAATAACACGAGTAATGATGTTGAAAAAACTGGTGAAAAACCACCTGGCAAAAATAAATACAAGGGAAAGTTTCTATTTAATTGTTTGCCAAAGTTTGTCAAAACTAAAAAATCTAAACAGGTATTTATTTATAATTATTTAACTAACTTACATAAATAAATAAGATTTTAAGATTTTTATAATAGATGAATTTGTTATGCGTATATATCTGTTTTAATTTGTTACTAATACAAATCAATAAGTTTTCACTAATAATAACTGTAAACATATACTGAATTAGATAAAATATAATGTTACTAATCTGTTATTTTATCATTTTGGTTTTAACACCATCGAGACTTGTTTAAATTTTAGAAAAACTTATAAAACATTCTGATTTATATTTTATATGTTTAAAATTAGTTTATATTGATCAATAGTTTATTGTGACTAAACTTTAAATTAACATGTTAGTTTTATTTAAAACAAAACTAATATTAATTAATATAAAAATTAGCTAGCTGTACATTAATAAAGTAAGGCCTAAATTAAGCTACATTTTAAATTAACAAATAAAATAATTCACATTATAAATATCCAATTAAAAAACTACTTATATTTTAATACAAAACTTACATTAACCAAAAAACAACTTTACAATTAACCTATTAGGGTGAGTCAAACAATGATCTCGATCTATCAAAAGAGATTAACTACACCGAACACATGTACTCATTGGACGAGTTAAGTACAAAATTGCAAACTAGTGTAGACTCGGGTATCAGCGACCGGGAGGCCGACGAGCGGCACAAACGGGACGGCCCTAACGCTTTCACACCGCCTAAACTGACCCCGGGTTGGGTACTATACCTAAGGGAGATGACCACCGGTTTCGCAATTATTATATGGTTGGCCTCAATCGCCAGTTTCATCTGCTATGGCATCGATAAAGTGCCCCAATATGTATGTATTAAGTAACTTATTTTTATTGCCATTTATGTTTTAAATACACCCCACCTGCTGATTATATCTAGTTAATTATATAATTTATTTATAGTAAAATTTATCATTATTAATTAATTAATGTTAAATGAATATAAAATCTACAATATTTTTATCATGCATTATTTGCAGTACTATTTGGGTATAGTGTTGGCACTGGTAGTGCTGATCACCGGCACCTACTCCTACTCACAACAGGCCAGCAGTTCAAAAATATTTGAATCGTTTAAGAATATGGTGCCCCAGGTGAGCTAATCACGATAATTTATATGAAAGCAAATAATCATAGTAAAATTCACTACTTCAAATTAAGCAGTAATTCATTATGAAAACTGTAATTTACAGTAAAAGTTGTATCTTTTAAAAAGAATTTTTTGATTTTTATTGATATATGGCTAATTAAATGACGCCCAATTAAGGTAGCATTTTTTTAAAAATCATGATTAAATATCTAAATGTTAGAATTATAATATTACAATATAATGAAATTTTTGCATATTTCGTATTCAAGCATAAAATAAATCTACTAAATGTAGACATGTTGCTATATCAATTAATTTAAACATTAATGTATAAAATTATAATACATTACAAAAAATAACAAATAGACTATTGAGAAGAGTATAACAATGAGTTGCAGAGAAAACTGTAATGTTATAGAAAATTTGCATTTTAATTTAACTTTGCATGTTAATATATTATATATGGCCTATGTGTATACTATCATAATTTGAACTTTTATTAAATTCACAACTATTAATAATAATAATAATTCACATGCATGTATATTAACATAGCAAACAGTAGTCATACGGGGCGGTGAGCGCAAGGAGGTGTCGGCCGAGACCCTGGTTGTGGGCGATCTGGTATACTGTAAATCCGGCGATCGGGTGCCGGCAGACATCCGGGTCGTCCGATGCGAGGCCATGAAAGTGGATAACTCATCCCTAACGGGTGAGTCGGACCCACTCCTACGCTCGGCAGACGTCGGGCACAGCAACCCATTGGAGGCCAAAAATCTGGCCTTTTTCTCGACCAACTGTGTGGACGGCTCCGGCTATGGTGTGGTCATTGCCATTGGCGATAATACCGTGATGGGCAAAATTGCCAAGCTCGTTACCGGCATAGCCCGTGAGAAAACACCCATAGCCATCGAGATTAGCAGGTTTACCAAGATTATTACGGCCATAGCTATTGGCAATGGTGTAGTGTTTTTCGCAATTTGCATGGGCTTTGGGCTGACCTTTTTCAACGCGCTCATTTTTATGATCGGCATTATTGTTGGCAACATTCCTGAAGGTTAGTTGACTTAATTGTTTTATGTGTGTTGTTGTTATTGTCTGGTTTTTACCTGTTTGTTTGGTTTGCGTAAGTTTTAATGTGTGTGTGAAATATGTAGTATTTTTACGATCTGTTGAATAGTGTATTAATGAATGACTATGGTATAAATTAATTAGCTAAAATTATACTAAATACTTTATATATAAATATACTTAATAATTAGGCATTATAGTAATTTATATTGTTTTGATACAATTGAAAGAGA